GAGCCCAGCAGGTCGAGGCTGCAGTGGCTGGGAGTGGCCACTGCACTCCAGTCTGGGCGACAGAGTGAGACTCCAACTCAAAAAAAAGAAAAGGGAGGGAGAAATGGAGGCTGGTCTTCCTACAAAAGGGGGTTAGTCAGCTTGGGGCCAGGGCCAGGTCAAAGTTTAGAGTCATTGCTGCAGCTGGAGACAGTCTCAAGGATTTTATTTTTTTGAGTTGGGGGGCTCTCACTCTGTCTCCCAGGCTATAGTGCAGTGGCACGATCACAGCTCACCTCACTAGCCTCAGCTTCCCGAGTGGTTTGGATTATAGGCATGCACCACCATGCTCAGATAAATCTTTTATCTTTTGGAGAGACGAGGTCTGGCTATGTTGCCCAAGCTGGTCTCAAACTCCTGAGCTCAAGCAACCTTCTTGCCTTGTGTGGTTTGGAGCCAGTGTTGGATTGGGATGGCTTTAGGGTTATAGTTGGAGGTTGGTTGAGCGTTAGGGTTAGCATTGAGGTGGGCTCAAGCTAGGGGTCAGATTTGGCCTTGGGGTTGAGATCAGAGTTAAGTTTGGAGTCAGTATTAGATTCAGGGTTGAAGTCAGAGCGAGGCTTGAGGCCAGTGTTTGGTTTGAGGTGGTGTCTGGTTTGACCTTGAGGTTGGGGTCAGAGTAGGGTGAGGTTTGGCATCAGCACTGGGATTGGGGTTGGGCTCAGGTTTGGGATCAGGGGTGGGTTTGACAGTGGACCTGGCTGGGATTTAGAGCCAGGCTTTGGCTTGTGTTGGGGGTTGGGGCCGGGGAGGGACATAGCTTCCAGCCACCTGCGTCTCTTCCCAGAATTTCATCACAGCCAAGCAGTACCCACCAAGCACACAGGTGGAGGTGCAGAATGATGGGGCTGAGTCAGCCATCTTTCAGCAGCTCTTCCAGAAGTGGACAGTGCCCAACCGGACCTCAGGCCTGGGCAAAACCCACACCATGGGCTCTGTGGGTAAGGATCGGGCTGGGTCAGTGCGGGAGCCGGGGTCCAGGAGGAGGGCCAGGAGAGCAACCTGGCCCATCTCCTGCCCTCCTTCTCTGATGTTCTCCTTCCTTGCACACTTTTAGCCGGTGGGTAGGGATACAAGAGAACATGAACGAACTCAAGAGTTGTCACAGGAACGGAGCCGAGAAGGACCTACTTTTCGTTTGGGACGGGGTCGGGCTTCCCTGGGAACCAGACAGCTTCAGTCTCTCACCAGACAATATTTGCTGAGGGCAAGCTCGGCACCAGGCACCTGGGGGAGGATAAAAGGGGCTCCCTGCTGAGCTCGGAGACAGGGTCAGTGCTTGCAGTCTGAATGCTGCAGGGACAGGGTGGGGAAGACAGCTGAAGCTTTTCTCTTGTGCCTCTCCTGGTTTCCCTGAGAGGCATGGATAAAGCAGGCATCTTAGGAGCAGGCTGATATGGTTCTATGTGATAGCTCTAGCTGGGCAACCTTGGGTAGGCTACTGAGTCTTTCTAGCCTCGGCTTCCTCATCTGTAAAACGGATCTAAGAATTGTAGTCATCTCTCAGGGCTGTTGTGAGGACCTAGAGGACCTCAGCTAGTGACAACTGGTGTCACGATTCCCCCCACTCCAGCCAAGGTAGAGCAGGTGAAGTTTGATGCCACGTCCATGCATGTCCAGCCTCAGATGGCTGCCCAGCAGAAGATGGTAGACGACGGGAGTGGGGAGGTGCAGGTATGTGAGGGGGCAGGCCCATGCTGGGTGGAGCAGGGATGGTGGAACCTGTCTTGAACCTCACGCCAGCATGCTACCGGCCCCAGGTGTGGCGCATTGAGAACCTAGAGCTAGTGCCTGTGGATCCCAAGTGGCTAGGCCACTTCTACGGAGGCGACTGCTACCTACTTCTCTATAGCTACCTCATTGGCGAGAAGCAGCACTACCTGCTCTACATTTGGCAGGTCAGACCCCTCCCTGTCCCGCCCAGAGCACAGCCCGCTCCGCTCCCCTCTTCACCATTCTCTGGCCAAGTGGATCACCCATGGGTTGCATACCTCTGGAGATGGGGAGCTCACCCCTTCAAGAGGCAGCCTGTTCTATCTTGGGACTGCTTTGGCTGTGGGATCCCACGGAATCCTCCCAGCTACAACCCTTCTCCTTTTGGTCCTGAGTCTCCCTTCCCATTTCCATCGTCTTCTGCACATTCTCACTGCCTGCTGTGTCTGTGGGTTTTTGTGTCTAGATGTGAGGGATCAGGGAGGTGCTTGAGTGCTGGGGGTGAGTGGTGTGGTGCCCATGGTGACTCCCTGAGGACGGAGCAGAAAGGAGGAGAGGAGGTTTGGGGGGTCAAGGCGGGGGTGGCAGGTGGGGCTGGGCTGGGGCTGAATAAGACAGGTTTGGAGCTGGGATCAGAATTGAGGTCTGGGTTAGGTTGGGGTTTGGGCTGTGTCCGGGTTTGGGGCCAGGTCAGAATTGGGGAGGAAACTGTTGCTGAGGCGGAGGGTGGGGTCAGAATGGGGGGCTGACCCCCTCCCACCCCTTCCCTCCTATTCCTCCCCAGGGCAGCCAGGCCAGCCAGGATGAAATCACAGCCTCGGCCTATCAAGCTGTCATCCTGGACCAGCAGTACAATGATGAACCCGTCCAGATCCGGGTCCCAATGGGCAAGGAGCCGCCCCACCTTATGTCCATCTTCAAAGGACAAATGGTGGTCTACCAGGTGTGGCTGCTGGACTGAGGCATCTGGCAGTACTTACTGAGGCAGGGCGACATCCAGGAGACAGGGAAGGGAACATGTGGTCAGGGTGGGGCTTGGGGTGAAGCCCATTCTTCATGGGAGAGGACATGGGAGGCTCCATTACCTGTGAGGAACTGGTAATAGAAACAGCCACTGGGTTACTTTAGAAATACATGTAAGCTGGTTGTAGTGGTTCACGCCTGTAATCCCAGTACTTTGGGAGGCTTGAGGCGAGGAGATTGCCTGAGCCCACAGGTTCGAGACTAGCCTGGGCAATATGGCGATACCTTGTCTCCACAATAAATCAAGAAATTCGCCGGGCATAGTGGCGCATGCCTGTGGTTCCAGCTATTTGGAAGGCTGAGGCAGAAGGATCACCTGAGCTCAGCAAGTCAAGGCTGCAGTGGCCGTGAGTGTGCCACTGCCCTCCTGCCTGTGTGACAGAGTGAGACTCCTACTCAAAAAAAAAAAAAAAAAAAGGCTGGGCTCAGTGACTCAGTCTGTAATCCCAGCACCTTGGGAGGCCATGGTGAGTGGATTACCTGGGCCTGCAGGTTCGAGACCAGCCCGGGCAACTTGGTGAGACCGCCTACAATAAATAAAAAAATTAGCTGGGCGTGGTAGCATGTGCCTGTAGTTCTGGCTGCTTGGAAGGCTGAGGTGGAAGGATCACCAGAGCCCAGCAGTTCGACGCTGGGGTGGCCGTGCATGAGTGTGCCACTACACTCCAGCCTGGGCAGTGGAGTGAGACTCAACTCAAAACAAAAAAAAAAAGAAAAGAAATACATGTAATAAATGCTCACTATATTGCAAGCACTGTCTGCCCTCCACATCCCAAGTCCTTGAATATTCTATATGAAAAGGGAAGTTATTTTGGATAGATTTGCCTAAATGATGCTCCTTTGCAAACCACATGGGTGCCTTCTAACATAATGAAATAGACATCTCATTTAGGCAATAATCTGCTTATTGAGCACCTACTAAGTACACAGTCCTTTGCAATTCCCCAAGCAAGACAAATGGCATGCTAATACAGTTTACCATCTTGTTGGGAGAGGACAGTCGCGTCACTGTGCGTGAGCAGTGAACTAACTGTCTAAGGCACTGTGTGGTTAAATGCCAGAGATAAAAGCTGGGTTGAAAGGGGAGCCGGAGAACAACCATCTAGTAGAGTCTACAGAGTTCATGGAGGAAAGAGAGTTTGGGGGAGGTCTTGACATTTGGGAGAGTTGAAGAGCTTAGCCTAGGTAAAATGAGGGCATATAATGCAGGGGGCCAGCCAGGACAAAGGCGGGGGAAGCCTCTGTGGGGAACAGCGAGAAATCTGGTTGAGCTAAGCTGGAGTTTGGGGTTATGGCTGTGTCCAGGGTAGGGTGAAGACAGTGGAGGGTTTGGAGAGAGCAGTGAATCTGCAAAGGCAGTTTGCATCTCATCATGGGGGAGTCTCAAATATTCAGCCGAGGAGCTGGGTTTTAGGCTGTAAGCAGCAGGGAGCCACTGAACATTTTTGAGCACAGGAATGCCGTGGTGCCAGCAATCTTTTGGAAAGACCATTCTGGTGATGGTGCCTCAGGGAAGCTGTAGGGGCAGGCAGACCCCGCTCTGATCTTTCTCCCCTCTGGTTCTCTTTATGCCTTTCTGCTCCCCCATGGTCCTGTTGACTGACTGACGCCTGTGCCCCTCTCCCTACCTTCTCCCCACACCTGCAGGGAGGCACCTCCCGAGCTAACAACTTGGAGCCTGTGCCCTCCACGCGGCTATTCCAAGTCCGGGGAACCAGCGCCAACAACACCAAGGCCTTTGAGGTTCCAGCCCGGGCCGCTTCCCTCAACTCCAATGACGTCTTCATCCTCAAGACCCCATCCTGCTGCTACCTATGGTGTGGGAAGGTGTGTGCAGGGCCTAGAGGCCTCCCCATCCCCAAGTGGGTCCCAGGAGCCCCCCAGTCTCAGAGATCTGGGTTGGGGTGGGAGCCTCTGGCTGACTGAGTCCTGCCTGCTCAGTTTTCAGCTGCCCCTGGAGCCTAGTCTCTCCCTCCTCTGCAGTTCTGGGTCTGTCTCTCTGTCCCATCGCTGACCATCCGTAGACTCTTTGCCTCTGTGTCTGAATCGGTCTCTTTCATTCTGTTTGTCTCTGGCCACCCCTCTCTGTTCCAGGGTTGGTCTGTCTTTATGTCTTGGGCTGCCTCTCACTACCCTCTGCCTGTCACTGCCTCTCCCTTTGTCTCTTTCATCGTCCTCTTGGAGTCCTTCTCCCACGCTCTAAGAAGACTATAGACTCTTATCTCCTCTGCAATTTTTGGAGTGTTAAGGACAGAGGAGAGGATGGGAGAACTGTCCCTGAATGGTCTGTGTGCAGAGGGTCCTGATTTAGGAGGGCCCCCTCAGAATCTAGAACTCTGGGAAGTTAATGGGACAGAAGGATGGGGGTAGTGGTGACACTAGAAATGGTCCCTTCCAGCTCAGCAGGTCCCCCCCACCAACCCCACTTTTCCCAGGGCTGCAGTGGAGATGAGCGGGAAATGGCCAAGATGGTTGCTGATACTATCTCCCGGACGGAGAAGCAAGTGGTAGTGGAAGGGCAGGAGCCAGCCAACTTCTGGATGGCCCTGGGCGGGAAGGCCCCCTATGCCAACACCAAGAGGTAACTCTCAGGTCTCTCTCTCTCCAGCTCACCTGATGAGGCTGGGGAGCCTCCTAGCATCTCCACCCCTACTCCCAGCACCTGCAGTAGGCATGGGTTGAGGACTCTGTGTACCAGGCACTGTGCTAGGCCCCCCGGGCTACAAGATAAATAAGGGGCTGCCACGCCCTTGGAGCCTTTTGGCACAGGGGCTGTGTCTGTGTTGTTCACCACAGTATGCCCAAGGCCCGGTGGGGGGTTTCCTTGGGAAAGGAAGTTCATAGCCATAGGAGACAGCTCAAAGAGAAGGCCAGGGCCAGAGGTGTGCCTTTCAGAAAAAAGTTGCCAGAGCTCAGCCCCTGCCTATAGGTGCTGACAGAGGCCTGGGATGCTGGGGAGCACCAGCCATAAATCCTCTTTCACATGAATTTTCTGGCCGGACACGGTGGCTCACACCTTAATCCCAGCACTTTGGGAGGCCGAGGTGAGAGGATTGCCTGAGCACATTGGTGAGACCTCATCTCTACAATAAACTAAGAAAAATTAGTTGGGTGTGGTGGTGTGCACCTGTAGTTCCAGCTACTTGGAAGGCTGAGGTGAAAGGATTACCTGAACCAAAGTCGAGGCCGTGGTGGTGCATGCCACTGCACGCCAGCCTGGGTGACAGAGTGAGGCGCCAACTCAAAAAGATAACGAAAAACAAAAACCAAAACCAAATTATTTTTCTAAAGAATATCCATGATCCACAATTCCCCAGTTCAAAAGCAAAAAGGGCATCAGGAAGAGTAGAGGGAAGATATCAGGAAAAACTAGCAGGGCACTGGAATGCACTGAGGATTTCTCCCTTGGAGCACTCTTGGCCTTTCCATGCCAGAGCCCTGCCCTCAGAGTTCTGTGTCCTCATCCTCCTTTCCCTGCACCTTTCTCCAGACAATGCAATCTTCTCTCCGTCCTGCAGACTGCAGCAAGAAAACCTGGTCATCACTCCCCGGCTCTTTGAATGTTCCAATCAGACTGGACGCTTCCTGGCCACAGAGATCTTCGACTTCAGTCAGGATGACTTGGAAGAGGATGATGTGTTTCTGCTAGATGTCTGGGACCAGGTAGGACCGAGGGCCTGGGGATCCTCCTATCCACCCATCTCTATCCCCAGGGCCAAGAAAGAATGGCTTCAGGGTTAGGTAAGTGTCAAGGTGCACTTCGCCCCCATATGCTTTCTCCCTGGGAATGGTATCATGCTCACCGGGAGCCTAAGAAAGAAGGAAGGTGGGGAGGAACATGCTGAGGGCCTGCTGGGCAGGATGTATTCTTCATCTTCGAAGTCTTATTTATTTATTTTTTGAGTCGGAGTCTCACTCTGTCGCCCAGACTGGAGTGTAGTGGCCCCTCCCGGCCACCGCAGCTTCCACCTGCTGGGCTCTGGCGATCCTTCCGCCTCAACCTTCCAAGTAGCTGGAACTACAGGCACACGCTACCATGCCTGGCTAGTTTTTTGATTTATTGTAGAGATAAGGTCTCACCAAGTTGCCCAGGCAGGACTCGAACCCACGGGCTCAGGCAATCCACTCACCTCAGCTTCCCGAGGCCCAGGATTACAGGCTGAGCCACCGAGCCTGGCTCGAAGTCTTATTTATTGCACATGTCAGCAAGAGTGTTTTTGAGGTTCTTGGGCTCTGGAAAGGTGAGGGTGACACATTTGCAGAATATCCAAGTAGAAGGCGTCTATCCAATCTCCTCCTTTTCCAGATGCAAAAGCAAGGCCAGATGGGGACTACCTTAGGCCATTTGGCTGGGCAGTGGCAGGGTCAGGGGCAGTGAGGACAGGAAGGACTGATCGAGCTCCTGGGATTCCCAACAGGTCTTCTTCTGGATCGGGAAACATGCCAATGAGGAGGAGAAGAAGGCCGCAGCCATCACTGTGCAGGAATATCTCAAGACCCACCCTAGTGGCCGTGACCTTGACACCCCCATCATTGTGGTGAAGCAGGGACACGAGCCCCCCACCTTCACAGGCTGGTTCCTGGCTTGGGATCCCTTCAAGTGGAATGTGAGTGGCCCAGCCCAGAACGTCCTTCTCGAGGTGGCTTCTTCATGGCATACCCGGGAGGGCAGGGCTGACTCCCACAGGCTCTTCTGTCCTTTTGGGATACATGACCTGCTGATTTATAAAGGGGTAGAGAGAGGCGGTTTAGAATAAAAAATACAGCTGCAGTATGATCATAAACCCCCTGGGGAAGAAGTCTATCAAAAACCAAGGCTAATTACAGTGCTTCTTTGGGTGCTCCATTGAGCTCAAAACTGCTGGATATTATAGGTAAGAGATATATTGACTATTTGAATTATTTTTTTTCTTGAGTTTGAGTCTCACTTCATCGCCCTGACTGGAGTGCAGTGGCACGCTCCCAGCCATTGCAGCCTCGACCTGCCGGGCTCCAGCGATCCTTCTGCCTCAGCCTTCCAAGTAGCTGGAACTACAGGCGCGCACTACCACGCCGGGCTAATTTTTGCTTTATTGTAGAAATGAGGTCTCGCCAAGTTGCCCAGGTGGGTCTCAAACCCACGGGCTCAGGCAATCCACTCACCTTGGCCTCCCAAAGCGCTGGGATTACAGGCTGAGTCACCAAGCCAGGCCAATTATTTGAATTTAAAGTAGGCTTGATGCAGTGGCCCACACCTATAATCCCAGCATTTCAGGAGGCTGAGGCAGGAGGAATGCTTGAGCCCAGGAATTTGACAATATATTGAGGCCTCCTCTCTACAGAAATCAAAAAATTAGCATGCATATGGTGGCATATGTCTGTAGTCCCAGCTACTTGAGGAGGCTGAGGCGAGAGGATTGCCTGAGCCCAGGAAGTCAAGTCCACAGTGAGCTGTGATCCTGCCACTGCACTCCAACCTGGGTGACAGAATGAGACTCCAACTCAATCAATAAAAATTAAACAAAATTCAATTCCTTACTAGTCATTTTTTTATTTGAGACAGAGTCTCACTCAGTCACCTGGGCTGGAGTGCAGTGGTGTGATTATAGCTCACTGTAACCTCAAACTCCTAGCCTTAAGCAATCCTCCCTTTTTAGCTTCTTGAGTAGTGAGGACTAGACACATGCCACTACACCTGGCTAATTTTCAACTTTTTTGAGAGGTTGGGGGGAGTCTTGCTATGTTGCCCAGGCTGGTCTCGAATTCCTAGCCTCAAGCAATCCTCCTCCTTCAGTCTCCCAAAGTGCTAGGATTACAGGTGTGAGACACCACACCTGGCCAGCTAGCCGTAATTTGAGTGCTTAGTAGCCACATGTGGCCAGTGACTACTGTCTTGGAAAGCACAGACAGGAACATTCTCATCACCACACCAACTTGGTGGATTCTTGGTGTTGGTGGAAAGGAAACATGTCTGTTCAAAAGGACTGATAAATGTCTTCCTGGCACTCAATTCTAAACAAAAAGGGTCATATATGCAGTCCTTACTTGAGGGACAGCACGCCACATTTCCACAGGATGCTTCCCTAGATAGAAGCAGAGGGCAGGGACCCAAAATGGAGCTCACCGAAGGTTTTCTGCAGGAAGCAGGATGGCCAGGTAGTATGAGGCGCAGTCTGGTGGTTCCAGGTGCTCTAAATTGACACAGCAGAAGGGTTTAGGGAGATAGCTTAACTTCCTTAAATCTGGTGTTTGTTTTCTTGCTTTATTTTGTTTTTTGAGTTGGAGTCTCACTCTGTTGCCCAGACTGGAGGGCAGTGGCCGCTCCCAGCCACCGCAGCCGCGACCTGCCAGGCTCCGGCGATCCTTCCGCCTCAGCCTTCCGAGTAGCCGGAATTACAGGCATGCGCTACCATGCCCAGCTGATTTTTTGATTTATTGTAGAGATGAGGTCGCCCTGCCCAGGCGGGTCTTGAACCTGCGGGCTCAGGCAATCCACTCACCTCAGCCTCCCAAAGGCGTGGGATTACAGGCTGAGCCACCGAGCCCGGCTTCAATCCACTTTAGTACCCCTAAGCCAACAACTTTGGCAGCCCTACCCTCACCTCAAGTTGGTACTGGCTTCTTTCTCAGCCTCCATTCATTCATTCATTCATTCATTCATCATAACATAAGTGAGCTTCAGGTATGGAGGTGGCTCCTCAAGAACCATGGCCCCTTGACTCCCCTGCAGCAGGCTCTGATCCCCAGGACCCCTGCATTACCCTGAGTCTACACAACATAGACTGGGCTCTCAACACTGCCTGTAGCTGCTGGCATTGGGCTATGTGAGTAGGAACAGATCCTAATCCTTTTCAGTCCCATGTCAGGCTGAGCTGGGACAGATCAACAGCCTGCCCTGCCCTTTTTTGATCTGGCAGCTTTGTTGGCAGCAAAGGGCTCCCAAACCTCACCATCTAACCTCCTTCTTCAGGGCCCCTACTCCAGTCTCAGCTGGAGCTTGCTCTTTTTCTTCTTACTAGGCCTCAGACCAGCTTTCCTTTCATCCCCGAGAGAAAAATGGCCTTTCATGCCCCTTGCTGAGACCCGTTATTACTTTATATGCAGGAGGACACCAAATCCTATGAGGACCTGAAAGCGGAGCTCAGCAACTCTACGGACTGGAGCCAGATCACTGCTGTGAGTCCAGGGCAGGGTGGTTGGGCCCTGCAGTGGCCAGCTGGCAGTCAGACCCATGGGAGCCGAGAGCCCTTGAGAAGATGCCAGTGTTCCGTGCTTTCCTTCCCATTTCTCCCCACCTCTCATAGAAGCACTTGCTGTTAACTCCAGTGCCTGTAGCAGCTGTGTTTCCTTCATTTCCTGGTGAAATGGTTCCCAAATTGTATCACGTATAGGAGTCTGGGTGACAGGGGAAGGGAATGAGGGAGAAACATATTAAAATGCAGATTCCGCCAGATGCGGTGGCTCACACCTGTAATCCCAGCATTTTGGGAGGCGGAGGTGAGAGGATTGCTTGAGCCCAGGGGTTCGAGACCAGCCTGGGCAACATGGTGAGACCTCATCTCTATAATATGTTTTTAAAAATTGGCCGGGCTCGGTGGCTCAGCCCGTAATTCCAGCATTTTGGGAAGCCGAGGCAAGTGGATTTCCTGAGCACACAGGTTCGAGACCCCACCTGGGCAACTTGACGAGACCTCGTCTCTACAATAAATAAAAAATTAGCCGGGCGTGGTAGCTCAGCCCGTAATTCCAGCATTTTGGGAAGCCGAGGCAAGTGGATTTCCTGAGCACACAGGTTCGAGACCCCACCTGGGCAACTTGACGAGACCTCGTCTCTACAATAAATAAAAAATTAGCCGGGCGTGGTAGCTCGTGCCTGTAGTTCCAGCTACTTGGAAGGCTGAGTAGGGAGGATTGCCTGAGCCCAGCAGGTGGAGGCTGTGGTGACCATGAGAGTGCCACTGCACTCTAGCCTGGGCAACAGAGTGAGACTCTGACTCAAAAAACAAAAACAAACAAAAACCCAAAATAAAACAAAATGCAGATTTCAAGGCCCTGCTATTTTTTTGAGTTGGAGTCTCTCACCCTGTCACCTCAATAAACTCAACAACAACAAAAAAAACTCAACTGACACTCAATAAACCCTTCTTGGTGGACTGACAGTGCAGACTTGCAAGTATAGATAGGTCAAGGCTAAGTGAATTTATGCATGAATTTTCACAACAGATAAGAGAGACAGGGTCATAAATATCCAGACTAGATCTCGAATTCTGAGGAAGCCATGAAAAACTTCATAAGTCATTGAACATAATAGTCATTTTGCACCAACTGACTGGCTGGATACAGACCGCTAAGCTCTGTGTTGTGTTCTTGTGTGTGTGGCAGGTGGGGCAGTTTCGGGGAGGCTTCTTGAAGATGGTACGCGAGAATCAATGTTGACCTCAGAGAGAAAGGCAGCCTGGAAGGAAGCCACACAGTAGCCTAAGTAACCATTTGTTTCCTTTTCTTCCCTAGGAGGTCACAAGCCCCACAGTGGACATGTTCAATGTTAATACCAGCCTCATTTCTGGGCCTCTGCCCATCTTCCCTCTGGAGCAGCTGGTGAATAAGCCTGTGGAGGATCTCCCTGAAGGTGTGAACCCCAGCAGGAAGGAGGTGGGTAAGATTTTCACAGGAGGAGAAAGAAGTTACAGCTTGTCCATTTGTTGGACAATCCTAGTTGGCCCCCAGATTGGGCTATGCATGTGATTAGGTTCTGGTGATGCCCTGGTGAACAAGACAGACCAGGTCCCACCTTCATGGCTTCTTACATTCTGGGAGGACAGAGATCAGAGATGCCTGATTACAGGGTTATTTAATCTTAGAGACAATAAGTGACAGAAAGGTGAAGTACAGGAGCCATGAAGAATGTTACTAAAAGGAGCCTGATTTAGCCAGAGATTTCCTTTTGCAAGGTGAATAGGAATTACTGAGGCAAAGTGAGTCAGTCCTGGAGAAGGGACAGCAAATGTGAAACCTGGAGGCAGGAATAAGCACAGCTGAGGGAAGGGGTTGCTGATGGAGGCGAAACTGCAAGGTGGCCAGAGTGGCTGCAGTGTGGCCAGTTGGGGAATGAGCGAGGTGGAACTGAGCAGTGCCTTTTATCCCAGGTATCTATCCTGACAATGAAAGGGAGCCATTATGGGTGAAGCCAGTGTGGTGGCTCACACCTGTAAAAAAAAAAGATCAGCTGGTGTGGTGGCTCACGCCTGTAATCCCAGCACTTTGGGAGGCAGAGGCAAGAGAATTGCCTGAGCCCAGGGGTTTGAGACTAGCCTGGGCAACTTGGTGAGGCTTCATCTCTACAATAAATCAAAAAATTAGCCGGGCGTGGTGGTACACACCTGTGGCTCCAGCTACTTGGAAGACTGAGGCGGAAGGATCATCTGAGCCCAGCAGATCAAGACTGCGGTGGCTGCGAGCGTGCCACTGCACTCTAGCCTGGGCAATAGAGTGAGACTCCGACTCAAAAAAAAAAAGTCACTATAAGTGCAGTGGTTTAGTCTATACTCCTAGCATTTTGGGAGGCTGAGGCAGGAGGATTGCTTAAGTCCAGGAGATCAAAACCAGCCTGGGCAACATACTGAGACCTCGTCTCTTAAAAAAAAAAAGCTGGGAGTGATTGTGTATGCCTGTAGTCCCAGTTACTCAGGAGGCTGAGGCAGGAGGATTGCTTGAGCTCAGGAGTTTGAGGCTGCAGTGGGCTATGATACTGCCACTGTGCTCCAGCTTGGGCGACAGAGCAACACCCTGTCTCTTAAAAAAAAAAAAGACAACTATAATTGCTCAGTGAAGAATAGACCAGAAGCTGGCAAAAGCAGCCATAGGGAGACCAGTTAGGAGAGAGTGTTGGTGCTGTCAGACTGAGAGGTAGGTGGGAACCTAGTATAGGTCAGGGTGAGGGAGGTGGAGAGAAGACGGCTTAGAGAAATATTTTGGAGGTAAAATCAATGACACTTGGTCTTTACTGGATAAAGAGTATGAGAGAGAGGAGTTTTCATTCTCCAAGAAAGCAAACTCAGGGTCAGACTGAGCTCAGGGAAGGACAATCATGAGTTGAGTGGTAGCTATATCCTTTGAGGCACCTGGAAGACATCCAGGTGAGATACATGTTCAATGGGCAGGCAATTCAGAACACTAGGGCGGAGGTACAAATCCAAGACCCATCAGCATATGGTCCTTCTGGTTAACTGCAGTGGCAGGCCTGTATGGATTGCTTGGGGAGAGAGAGCACAGCAAGAAGAGCTTGTTAAAAATATTTCTTAGCCGGCTCGGTCTATAATCCCACGCTTTGGGAGGTTGAGGTGAGTAGATTGCCTGAGCCCGCGGGTTCGAGACCCACCTGGGCAACTTGGCGAGACCTCATCTCTACAATAAATCAAAAATCATCCGGGCGTGGTAGCGCGCGCCTGTAACTCCAGCTACTTGGAAGGCTGAGGCGGAAGGATCGCTGGAGCCCAGCAGGTTGAGGCTGCGGTGGCTGGGAGCATGCCACTACACTCCAGCCTGGGCAACAGAGTGAGACTCCAACTAAAAAAAAACGACATTTCTTTTTTTTTGAATCGGAGTCTCACTCTGTCGCCCAGACTGGAGTGCAGTAGTACAATCGTGGCTCACTGCAGCCTTAACCTCCTTGGGCTCAGGTGATCCTCCCAACTCAGCCTCCCAAGTAGCTAGGACTACAAGCATGTGCTACCATGCCTGAACAATTTTTTTCCGAGTTGGAATCTCACTCCTTTGCCCAGGCTGGAGTGCAGTGGCACGCATGCTCATGGCCATCCCAGTGTTGACCTTCTGGGCTCCAGCGATCCTTCCGCCTCAGCCTTCCAAGTAGCCGGAACTACAGATGCATGCTACCACGCCTGGCTATTTTTAAATTTTATTTTATTTTATTTTTTTGAGTTGGAGTCTCACTCTGTTACCCAGGCTGGAGGGCAGTGGCATGCTCCCGGCCACC